TTATACAGGTGGATAAGAAACTAACTCAAAACCCACTGAAGTCAATGGGAGTCTTTCCATTAACTTCTGTCGGCATCAGATGGGTCCCAACATCTGTGAAGAGAGGTGGTGTGTATGGTATAATGTGACTGCTGTGAAAAGTATTTAGCGTCTGCTGCTTGGGCAATGGTGGAATTTATTGAGATCATGTTGTGTCTGAGCCACAAGTGATTAAAGTAGCGATTGCTGTAAAGCCGTCTCCTAACAGACTAACCCTCCAGAGACCCCAATCCTAGGTGAAGTGAATCCTTAGCATTCACCACACCTCTGTGGGGAGAGGGACATGTGCTGGAATTCCCGTCGGCAGAGCTGTCCCTACGCAGTCCCATGAAACGGGTGCCCTTCTGCCCAACAGCAGCTCTGGACAAGGGGAATGATTTTTTTTAGATGTAAATGAATAATCTTCAGCAACACACAAATGAAATATTTGTAATGCAAATTTTAAACTAAGGTCCTGTGGACTAACACAGTCAATTCAGAAACTGACACTCTAGACCTGGGGTTGGCAATGCCTGTTCAACGGCTTCATTACCACTTCAATGGCTCTGTCACAGGTTTGATGTGCTGTTAAAAATAGCTAGCAGGGTTTTTTCCCCCCCACATTTAAGTTAACCAGATTCTCTCCGGAGGAAGCAGAGCCACAGACCAGGGATAGGAAGAAGCAAATGGGTGGACACTAAGACCCAAATTTTCAGGTGCCCTATGCAGCTGTGTATTCTGCATATGGATAAAGACGGCTCTGGCCATGGGATAGGAAACTGAGCCCAAATGTGACTTGGATACATAGATTCTCAGGCCAGAAGGGATGGGTGTGATCTTCTCGTCTGAGCCCCTGTAGAATGCAGGCAAGACAACTTCCCCGGAATGATTCCTGTGCGAACTGGCGCAAATCCTGGAGCAAAACGCTCAATCCTGATTTTAAAGTTGCCAGTGATTGCCATTGCGCGGTGTGAGGCTGGGCACTGAGCCAGGATTAGACCTCAGGAACCTCCTGGCTCTTTCCCCGACACCAGGCTGGCTTCTAACACCAGCAGCAGCTTTGCAAAGCAGGAGTGGGGTTAACCGCCTGCAGAGGCGGAAAGAACGCACACGCTCTTTTATTAAGTGTCTCCGCAGCAATGCTCCCTCGGGCAATGTCTAAAATTAGCTCAGGTTGAACGTTCCAGCGGGTACAGCTGTGGGTTAAATTTAGCCTCTTCGTGGATGGATTATTTTTTCTCCGAGACAGTACAGCCCTGCGTTGTCATACTGAGCGTTGCCACTCCAGTCATTCGGTCTGACACCCTGGGCGGGATGGTCTCTGACTGCGCTTACCCAAATAGTCTGCACCCTGACTCATCCCTCCTGGTTCAGCACACAGCCACATGCTACATCTTCAGCCTCGAACAGGAGGACAGCTGATTGTTCTGAAAGAGCCGTGATTCTTCTGATGCCGTTGCTGTCCTGGATGGGTACATTTTGCATCTCTGAGGCTGTTGATTGTGCCAGGAAACATGTGCTAAGGGTGTCCAGAAGCAGACGGTATGCTCGAGTCAGGGCTGGCATCTGAGTGGGGTGAATGAGATTAAAAAAGGAGAGACTCCCCCAAAAGATAGGATCCCCCTACCTCCCTCATGACTTTGGGGCAGATCCTCACTTGCAGCAAATCAGTATGGCTCCTTGACTGTCTTACAAGACATCCTGATGCTATGGATGGCGGTCGCTCCAGTTTTATGACAGTGTAACGCCTTTGATTTCAGCAGCATTACGGCAGCATGGAACTGGAGCAACAGAGCGCGTGTGTCTGAGTCCGACCTATGTGTCACTCCACGGGGCCTGATTGTCCTCTGAGGCCAGCTGGTATCATTTGGGAGTCACTCCAGAAATAGTAGTGGAGTTACATCGTGTGTACAACAGGTGTGAGCAGAGAGTAAGGGTAACTTATGTGGCTGGTTCTCCTCTTCCATATGGTAATTTGACCCTGATGCATCAGTAGAGTTACACTTGTAGAAGTGAGATCAGAATCCAGTGTGTGTCCAACCATATCACCATGTGCATGTATACAGGGAACTTCATAAAGTCCCGTATTTCAAAGCTCCTCCAGCAATATTAATGAATTCAGTTTGCGAATGAGAGGAATAGTCCATGGGGAATCTGAGCCGCCACAAGGTTAAGTGACTTGGCCAAGGGCACAGACGGGTCTAGAGTCTAGTCTCACTTATATAGATATGAATCAGAAGTGAGCCCATAGAAGTCATTACTTAGAAAAGTTAAAGCAAAATGCAGGACAATGTAGCACTTTAAAGACTAACAAGATGGTTTATTAGATGATGAGCTTTCGTGGGCCAGACCCACTTCCTCAGATCAAATAGTGGAAGAAAATAGTCACAACCATATATACCAAAAGATACAATTAAAAAAAATGAACACATATACAAGATGGTTTATTAGATGATGAGCTTTCGTGGGCCAGACCCACTTCCTCAGATCAAATAGTGGAAGAAAGTAGTCACAACCGTATGTACCAAAGGATACAATTAAAAAAAAGAACAAATATGAAAAGGACAAATCACATTGCAGAACAGGAGGGGGATGCGGTGGGGGGGAGGGGGAAGGAAGGTAAGTGTCTGTGAATTGATGATATTAGAGGTAGGGAGAGTGGGATGTTTGTGAGTTAATGGTATTAGAGGTGATAATTGGGGAAACTATCTTGGTAATGGGTGAGATAGTTCAAGTGTTTGTTGAGTCCTTTTTGGAAAGTGTCGAATTTTAACATGAATGACTGTTCAGAGGATTCCCTTTCAAGTGCAGATGTAAAAGGTCTTTGTAGCAGAATGCAGGTGGTTAAGTCATTGAGAGAGTGTCCTTTCTGGTTAAAATGGCAAGAAACTGTTTTTTTCTTTGTGATCTTGTCTGATATCTGTTTTGTGGGCATTAATCCTGCATTTTGCTTCAGCTACCCCAGACTAACACAGCTACATTTCTATCATTAGAAAAGTTAGATATCTTCAAGTCACCCGGGCCTGATTAAATGCATCCTACAATACCTGACAAGCTGATTGAGGAGGTATCTGAGCAATTACCTATCATTTTTGAAAACTCATGGACGTTGGAAGAGATTCCAGAAGACTAGAAAAGGGCAAATATAGTGCCCATCTATAAAAAGGGAAATAAGGACAACTCAGGAAACTACACACCAGTCAGCTTAACGTCGGTGCCAGGAAATATAATGGAACAAATAATTAAGGACCCCCATCTGCAAACGTCTGGAAGATAAAAAGGTGCTAAGCAACAATCACCAGGGATTTGTCAAGAACAAATTGTGTCAAACCAACCTCATATCTGTTCGTGTAGCTGAAGTTTCATAGCCTGGATTGATGGGGTGGGGGGGACGTAGTGTAGACTAGGAATGTGAATGAATAGTCAAATAGTCGATTAATCAATAAGCCTAGGTTTATCAGTTAATCTAATTGACTACTCGCATTCCCCCTCCTCCCACTGCTACTGTGTCAGAGGCAGAAAGGGGATAACCAACCTCATATCTGTTCGTGTAGCTGAAGTTTCATAGCCTGGATTGATGGGGTGGGGGGGACGTAGTGTAGACTAGGAATGTGAATGAATAGTCAAATAGTCGATTAATCAATAAGCCTAGGTTTATCAGTTAATCTAATTGACTACTCGCATTCCCCCTCCTCCCACTGCTACTGTGTCAGAGGCAGAAAGGGGATGGGGGGGGG